AGTGGCTCCACAAATGTATATGGGTAAAGCCTCTTGGATTTAGTGAACACATATTTATTGTCATCTGTTTGTTCTGACTGACCCTACCTAAAGGTGTATCTCTAGAGGAAGGTTCTGCATCTCAACTTTTCTTGTCATTTTCCCCTTTGTGACATTTGAAAAATCAAGCATAGATCCAAAATTTGAAAAGTTTAGATCAGCCTCTTGGACTGAAGCATCCTGAAGAAACAAGGATGTCTTCTCTGCATATATGCCACTTACTAAAGTTGTCTTGCTCTCCAGATCCGTACACTGGAATGGCAGAGGGAGAGAGCCCCTTCCAACCTCAACCATGCTGTGATTGTGCGAAGACCCCTTAGCTGAGTGCTATGGAGAGGAGCACAAGCGCCTGTGCTCATAAATGAACCCAGAAATTCGGCGGGTGGAAGGTCTGTTTGGCAGCCCTGCTCCACATGCGCTGGCATGTGGGCTCTGCTCTGGTTAGGCTGTGCTAGAGCTAGCATGGTTTGTGTGTAATAAACTTAAGAATAATGCCTTAGGTCTTGTATGAGATGAAAAGTAATGAGTGAAGTAACGTAGATGGGGTAATATCAGGCAAGGTGGAAGCGTTTATATTGAGTACATGAAGCTGTAGGTGTACAAAATCCTCACAAGGATCTCTTAGAAGAAGGGAAATTCTTCTATCTGCCTTATAGTGGGTATTTCAGTGAAACAACATCCCTGAATGCTGCTGATTTGGTTTTACTTCATAGCTGCGATGCTGAAGGATGCTGTGTTTATGAAACTGAATTGGGTTAAATAAATGCAAAGGACATGACAGAAAAGAGCTTACCGGTAGTTGGACATACCCAATGAGAATTACTGTGGAAATATTAAAGGAAAATACCTGGTTTGATAATACTGCGGAATTGGTAATAGTTGCGAGCAAAAGTATAGTTTCTAAGAGAACAGAGTTACAAAAATACTTTATTTTATTCTCATAAGAATAATCATTTCTGGTACTTTGAGGAGAACGTATATCATATCCAACCAAGAAAAAATGTTCCTCCTTCATTTGATTAAGCCAGTATACTGGCACAGCATTCAGAAATGCATGTGGGTATGAAAAGGTATCTATACCTCGTGTGTGTAGAGAAACACACAGACTATAAGAATATGTACATGATAATGGAAGAAACAGTGACAATAAAGATAATAAAGTTAAAAGCCAACCTATTTTTTCCTTCTTTATTGCAGATGTTTTAAGACATCTTTAGCTCACCACAAGGAACGGCGCAGTGATAGTGCCAGGGTCCATAGCAGCCATGTGCCCTTCTCGAAGTTTTAGCTAAATGAGTTTTTAGCCTGCCTTTTTACTTTTCCTGTAAATAATAGATCTGTAAATAATAGATCCTGTAAATAATAGATCCCACTGAAGTTAGGCCTTTTTGTCAATTGCAAGCTGGGGTTTAAATGAATTATATATTTATTTTCAGGAACTCGTTAAGCATTTCTTCATATATATGTATGAACGTATATATATACACATCATTTATACCTACCAAGTATGTAAAGCAAATGCTTATAAATAGGAAGGGTGTCATTTTAGGAACCGGTCTCATTGAGAGTTTCAGTTTTTCAAATTTTAGAAGCTGGGATCTGTCTGCAGCTGCCAGCTCTAATGGGACATTCATTTTAAAATTACTTCATGGAAGTAGACATATTTATAGAAAAGATAATCCATTTTTGCCCTCCAGAACCTCAGAGCTTGTCCTCCAGCGTGTTATGGACCAGATAACCTCATAAGCAATTATTACTTCTTTTTTTCTGAAGTTTTGCTTTTATGCCTGCCACAGTTATGTCTCTCTGCGCTGTATGGATTGCTTTTTTATAAGCGCATGAGATGGCTCTATGCCTTCCTCTTCCCCTTTCCCAGTGAATGATTTCTGAATGCCTAGGATATGTCATTTTTTTTTCTCAAAGACAGCTACGTTCCTAATCCCAGGGTAGCTAAATACCCTTTCTTTCTTAGGTATGTCGGACAGTCTTCCCCTAAACTGTAACTATTTCAGAAAGAATTAGCACATCCCTCTCTTCTAATGGGAAAAAATGGTAATGGAAAAAACAAATCCATAATGAAAAGTTTGTTTGTTTTATTATTTAAGGAATTATCAGAAATAGCAGACAGATGTGAAAACACTGTGTGCAAAAGCTATCTCCAGAAAATCCTGAGGTCAAATACCCCTAATGTATCTGTACCATGAGAATTTTAAGCGGATTCCTCCTGCATGGCAGCACATAGGGTTAAAGGTTAAGAACTGACCAATTCCTTGGACAAGGTGTTATTCAACATCAGGTACTTAAGACATTTGCTGGAGGACTTAGCCATTGGAACTGTTTGGAATTGCTGCATTTTCAACAAGGATGGTATTTAGGGGAACAAAAAGCATTTAGAGATGTAGAATTCCAGAAAGCCTGTTACATATAAACCAGAAACCACCATTAGGAGCTGAGTTTTCTTGACAAAAATCTGACAGTATCCAAATACGTTGTGTGAAAATCGTGGTTGTCAAAACGATTCAAGCCCATTCTCTGCAAATAATTCAGATTGGCTTCCCTTAAGCTCTGTTTTCCATACACACTCGAGTTTTCTTTTCCCATGCTGCTTTCCTTTGTAGTTTTGCCTCCCAAGATGTCTCCGACTTCTTTTTAGAGCTCATAAAATAAGTGGTGACTCGACAGTCAATTCTAAATCAAACGGAAAAGCTGTTGGAGGCTTCTAGCCCTGCACAAGCAGTGTGTCGCTGAGGACTGGGAGTATTTGGAGGAAATTGTTTAATAATAAAAATTCTCCAGGGTTTATTGTCTTGTTGGGAAGTAGCATTTATCATGTGAGCGGCCAGAAAATACTCAGAGAGTTTAACCAATAGCTATAGCTTTATGGCATCTTTCTGAGCAGGGTTCTAAGGTTTTTTGCTAGTATTTTTGTGTGCTTCTTGATCTGCTGCTGCTCGGAGTGGTTTCCTCTTATGGAGAACACGGCTGACTTGCTCTTTCGGATAAGAAATGTCCCCTGTGCAGACACTCCGATGGACACTTCTTCAGATAAGAAGCATCCCCTTTTGAGCAAGATGTAGAGCTGAAAAGACAGATATTTACACAGCTTTCAAGATCTAATATGATTCACGGGGCTAGACCTTTGCATGCATGTAGGGGTCAGCATATTAGATTCTGGCAAAAAGCTAAAAATACGTATATATAAATACAGCTGCTGCCACATGGAGGAAGATGTTCATTCTACCTCCTGTTAAATCACTGGGGTGACTCAGGGTGATACGTGTCTGTTGTGTTCCTGCTGCGTTTTGAACAATTTCTTTAACCTTGGACAAATCCCAAAGCAAGTCTGTGCCGCAGCTTCCCAGTATGAAAGAGAGCTTCTAGCTGTAAGACAGCTGTGACACTTAAATTAAAAGACATAATGTTTGTGAAGAACTCCAAGATGTCACATTGAGACAAATTTGGGCAAAAAGTAGTACCAGCTGGCAGTACCACACAAATTTTTGAAAACTGAATTTAAATGTATATATACTTTGATACTTAGAGCAGTCTTAAAAACTCAATCTGAGCAGTCATCTCTTTCTAAATGTAACGCAGTAGCAAGATTTGAGTTCAAGAAAACATTAAAAGACCAACAAAGCAAAGACAGATTTGTGTAGCTTCTGAAAGCTTAAATCATAAAGATGCTTTTTGTCGCATTCTCTACTCAATATAGAAATAAAATTCTTAGTGCACGTTGCAAGGGGACTTTTTTAACCTCCTTATCTCTTCGATTGCAGATGTGAAGAGATGGGTAGTATGCATCTGTCTTTGTTATGGGTAGTATCTGTCTTTGTTATGATCCTCCTCTTCGGGGTTGTCCTGTCCCACTGGATATTAATCAACAGTCTTTGGGTCTTTCCCATTCTGAAATACAGGATATCCATTTTAGAACAGTAATAATAAGAACAAACTAGAACGACTGATTGAAAAATGCCTTATTTGAAAGTGAGTGCTCAAATATTGGCTCGGATGTTCTTTAGCCTAGTTGGGTTTTTACCAATGCTCAGCAATTATAACAGTCATGCTGCCCTCTTGGAGGGAATCAGAGCAAGAGCAT